TTCATTAAAAATTGATTTGACTAGATGGAAAATAGTAAAAAAAAAAAATTTAAATATATATATATATATATATATTTCTTCTTTGGGATTTCTCTACAACCAATCCAAACCAAACCCTAAGAGCTTAGAAAGAAGAAAGGTAATTGGGTTCTATAGGTGATCCGTGGGTGTGCAGAAGGAGAGAACGGTAGAGATGATCTACCGATGCCGGAGTTCAATTGGGAAACCCATGCCAAGGTCATTCTTTAATTATTCTCAATCTATATCTATGTTGATGAATATGCATTTCTTGATTTCACCATTATAGACATCGTAGATTCTAGCATGCTTTTTGGTTATTATTATTATTTTTTTCAATTTACTTTTCGATTCTCAATTTCTTTCAAATAATTAAGAACATCTAATTGCTTCATTTTTAGCTATTTATTTTGATTGATTGGAAAATTGTTGACAGTTAAACAAAAGAAGAGCATAAACCCATAGCTGTGGCAAGATTTCAAAACCCCTAATTATTGTTCTCTTGCTCCTTCTTTGCACAGCCTGATTTGTCTGATTCAAGGGAGCATAATCTTCCAGTTTGTGCCCTGATTTCAGTGCTAGACACTTATCACAATTTCGCTAATATATATGATTTATATTATTATCATTTTTCTTAAAGTTCACTACTTCTGCTGGAAAGAATATATCTAGCATAGTATTAAGGTTCTTGCATGTCAAAAGTTTGTATAATTGGAAGGGAGTTGAAAATCATAACCCTTTATATCTCCCTTTTTCCTAAATCCTTCTGTTTTTATTTGTTATTTTAAGCATTTTTGTTAGACTACTTTTCCTTCTGATTTTCTTGTTAACTATCTCTTTTTTTTACACATTATCTATGAGACTCAGTTTAGCCGTGAGAGTGATGTTTAGCATAGTCTAATTGCAAGATATTAAGCGACTAACGTCTTTTGTAGGTGGGTAGTAATTTCATCATCCACATTGATAGTAAGACTCTCATTTTTCCCTCAGTTGTACGGCAACTCAAAACCTGAAGATAATTGGAGAGTTGTGGCCTAAATGTAAGTATTTAAACTTTCTTTTGATTCATAAGGGCTTTCATCTAATATTGAACTAAAAAGAAAGGAGCAGAAGCACCAATGAGAAGGAAAATGCTTCACCTCTATTACTAACTGCATTATACTTCCATTGGATGGCCCTACGTTTGAATCCTTGCCATACTGCCTTCGGGGAAATAATAGTTTATCGGCAATAAGAGTTGATTCTTTCATTGAGATTTCAGCTCGTATTCCAACTCCTGTCAATACCTACTACAATGATTTAATAAAACAATAGCATGTTGGCAAGGATTAACACATATCTTTATGTGTGTTAAACATGCTCCAGTATTTTCTGAAGACTCAAAGATGTAAGCTTGTTATTAGGTGCAAATTCAATTACTGAAAAGATAAAATAGCCAACTAATACATTTCTTGCCAATGTATAATTCCGCTCCTTTTAGTGGAATGTCTTTCCAAATTATTGCTTGTAAATTGGCTTCAGAGTACTCTAGATAATGATCTATTGATGTCTCTACCTTACTCGAGAGGCCCTTAGAGCTTCCATATGTCAAGATTAACCGTCGGTATCAACAAATGAACTGTCCATACCAACGATTAATGTCAGTTTTTCTCAACAGTTCACCTCACTACAGGCAAGAGTTCGATTTATTACATGTTATATTTCTATGTTTCATCATGATCTAATCCGTGTTTTTCTCGCTGTACCTTGTAGGAGAAATGGAGTTTGAATTCCTCGTTCCGAGAAATGCCTGCTACGGGCTTACATTTTACAATGGAGCAACTTGAAGTATGTTTCATCATGATCTAATGGAGGCCTTTGACAGCCGACAGTGTGAGGACTTTCGAAACTCCTGCCTAGGCTTCCTGGCCGAGGTACTTGACATACAGATCTTTGCCTAGCTCATTCAACAGTTGGTATTCAAATATATGATTTAAGAGTCACATGTTGGTAATGTACCGATTATGAGAAACGCTTGTGTACATTAGGGAAAAAAGTACTAAAATGTCCTTACAAAATTCGTGTATTTACAAGGACGTTAATGTGAGTTTATTTTTTTATTGGGTTAAGAGATGAGCCACTTTTATAATTATGTCAAAGTCATGACAACCATATTACAACTAATTTACAAAGCATAATGTGAGTTGCAGGAAATTTGAGTCCATTGTTCACATGATTTAAGAGTCACAATATCCTAGTAATTATGGGGAAATAGGGATAAAGGTATAGTTATTGTATTGAAGCATCATACCAACTAAATTTAGACGAGATTGGACTTGGTGGTTAGGTAGTAAATGACCATAATTGCTTCCTCTCTTCAAGGTGATTATAAATAGCATGTTGTTGTTGTCGATTACACATAAAACACTTCATAAGCATTGAGAGACTTTCAAGTTCTCACACATGCAAACTGTTTCATCAATTGCATTACGCCGACATAATGAGGTTGTCCACGAAAAGAAACGAAACATTGAAACTGATCGAGCCTTTGCCAATTCTCTGTTCATCCCTGTTATTTTTAATCTACATTTCCGTAATAATACTTTTTAATATTAGTGGTATTTATCATTTATGAGTCACTTGAGTCTACTATTTATAATTTACAAACTACAATTTAGTTGGTGGGGATTAAAATTATCATTTTGAGCGGATTGTGATAGAAGGTTTTGAAGCAGTATGTTGAATTATTTTGATCAAGCATAGAGTTGTAGGGCCTTTTATGCGTTTTCAAAGAATCAACAATTTAAATTTTTCGACATGTTTTGTACATTCCATATGTCAACATGTAGATCCATGTAGTACTAAAAGGGGAAATGGTGACAACAGTTTTTAGGTATCGAAATTGACAATTAAATTGTCAATCCCGACAGTTACTAAATGTCAAGTTCAACAATTAAAATGTCTAATCCGACGATTTCAAAGATACTCTTCGACAGTTGAATCGTCATAATTTTCAGGAAAGTTTAAAACATGTGTTTGATTTTTTGGAAAAAATTATTGAAAACATTAATGGTGATAATCAATTCTCAACTATAACATCACAATATCTTCACACAAATAAAGAATGAATAATTCAATGCTTCATTAAATATGGAATCTTTCACATTTTCTAGAGGATGTTGGTATTTTTTTTCCCTTAAAAAATATATCAAAAATAAAACACATCAATGAATAAGAGATTCAAAAAGTTCAATTAAATATGACCGTGTCGTATTAAACATTTAAAGTAGTAAACTATGACATGAAAAAATAATTTTTCTAGTAGCTCACTATTGAGATTGATCAATGACTTTTTTTTGTTGATGATGGAATGAAAATAATGAAGAAGAATGGAAGGTTTGTATTTATAGGTGTTTGAGTGTTTTTTTTTTTTTTTTTTTGAAGTTTTCACCCCTTTTTTAACAATAAAAAGTATTATATAATATAATATTAACATCTTAAATGTTTAAAATAAATAAAACAAATCATCACATCACACCCATTAATTGCATTCAAATGAAGCATTTATTGTTCTAAAAAGGTGTCACAAGGGGTAAAATGGATATTTCGTAGAAAAAAAGTGACATTTTTGAAAGAACTTGGTGCAAATGAAATTTTTTTATACATTTTCAATTTTAATTACGTTTATGTGAATTCCCCAAATTCAAATCACAGAACAAGACAAATGGTATTGTTCCAGTTCTATATGTATAGTTGAGATGCATGCAAATGGTGAGTAAATTAGATTTGAGTTCGTTTGGTCATTTGAAACCTGCTGTCATGAAACTTCTTAATATGGGTAAATTTTCTGAGATTACATTGTGCAGAGGAGCCCAGCATGTGGAGTCTTGTCACGGACCAATTGCTTCACTGAAACTTTTGACCAATGTGCGGCCTTAACCAGGCACTGAAGAACATTCACCCACTGTACAAGCAAATATGTAAGCACACACCACATTCCATTGACACTTTGAGCCTGACAAAATGACAATTTCTCTTCTACCGTTCCATCCTCTTTCCCCCCAACTTAATCTGCCAAAACCCAGAATTCGTTTTTCTGAACTAACTTCAAAACCCATTTGTTTTCTTCATCTTACCTCAAACCCATTGAAAGTAGGCCTTTCAGAACCCAATTAGCAAAAATACTAGATTTTCTGGAGGGGAAAGATTTGCACAATTCAACTTGCCAAAATAGAAGATTTTGTCATGGGTTTATTTTGTAGGTGTTGTAGGAGTTGTAGCTTCTGTTCGTAATGTGGCGTGGATTGATGGCTCCACTGGATTTGGTAAATGTTCGTCAAAATCTCGCAAGCATATGGGTTCGTTGTACAAGTAATAATCGTGATGAGAAAGTTATCGTCCCACATGAAATAAGGATTAATTTAAGGATTAATTCTAGTATATTTAATATATTTAAATTCGTGCTTGTAACTAAAAGACGATCGAATGAATAGCTAAATAATTTTTATAATTAAAACTTGTGACAACAATGAAAGTTGGTTTAAAAATCAAATGTGCGAACGTATTGGAAATCCGACGCCATTTGATCAATTCTTAGTTCTAATTCTCAACCAGTAATAATTATCTCAATTCATGCAATTGCGACGGTCGATAATTCCACTATTATTTATTATTCTTTCCCAAGATATAATAAACCTATGTTTACCACGAAACAATCATATTCCTAGTCCGAATTCATATGACAAACATGCATTGACATTTATGATTATCACACATGACCGCACACGTCGTAAATATTATTCCTAACATTTATTGCCCGAGTGTCTCAATAATAGTGTTCTACCTATCGTGAGTTTTTCAACATAATGAATAAGCAACTTATTGTCCTAATGGTGCACAAACATTAAAACAATGTAAATAGGCATATTAATGGAATCATAACACAAGAATTAACATAAAAACATGGGTCTCGAATTAAAACTAAGAATTAAACAATTTTGTGATCCATCCAATACATGAATCGAATTAGCCTAACATNGGCTGTTGTGTATATATGTAAAAATAAGCCAAAGCCATGCAGTTGTATGTGTAATTTCAACCAATTGGCAGCCCTATTTTTCTCGTCTCCCAGCAATCTTTTCCTCTAGTTTTTTTTCTGTCGTCTTCCTCAGTTGGCGATTAATAATCTCCAAAAAGATATCCCAATTCAACCCAATATTACTTCCCAACATATTATTGGAATCAAACAAATAAAAGTGGAAAGACATCACCGAAATTTGACGAAACGTAATTAATTCCAAAATTATTCTCGAATTCTGCTTCAATTCCAGCTGGAAGCCCGTATATATATATATATATATATATAACAATTCAATTCAATTGCTCATTTGTCTTCTTCTGCCTGCCAATTATGGGTGTTGTGTATATATGTAAAAATCAACCAAAGCCACACAGTTGTATGTATAATTTCAACCAATTGGCAGCCCTATTTTTCTTCTCTTCCAGCAGTCTTTTCCTCTTGTTTTTTCTGCCGTCTTCCTCAGTTCGCAAGTAATAATCTCCAAGAAGATATCCCAAATCAACCGAATATTACTTCCCAACAGTAACTCTATTTCTCCTCAAAAGCAGCCCGGTTACATGTGTATATATTTTCCCAATTTGGCTGCCCTTTTCTCCTTCTATAGGTTATTCTCTCTTCCAATTTTATTCCCAGCCGACAATCAACTTCTCCCTAGGTTTTTTTCTTCTTCTCTCTCTGTAATATATCTCTCTGTGTGTGTATATATATCTTAAGGAACAGCCCAACAGCCCACTTTTATTTGTTTCTTAGAGTCCAAGTTAGCTGTATGTTTCTTTTAATTCCACTCTCCGAGTTGCCGGCTTCTGTATGTGTTAATATATAAAATCAACCCCCATTTGATTAACAAAAGAACTCCAATTCTCTTCCAATTCCTCAACTTTCAAACTATGAAATTTGATCTCCAAACTTCTCATCGAATGGCCAATTAGTTCTTTATCTTTTTCCAAATGCTTCAAACTAGTCCATCACTAAAAACACAATGAAAGTTAACCTAGGTTAGATAAAAATTAATAAATTGACGACTTAAAAAGTTTAATAATGTAGCATAAATAAATAAACAAATTGTACTTATCAAATACCCCCAAACATAAACCTTTGTCTGTTCTCGAACAAAACTGTAACATAAATAACAACAAACACACAAGCATGCAGAAATATTTGGTTGGACCGTTTAGCTTTTTAGCTCATTATTTGAAATCACGACATTAACTCTACAAACTGCTTCAAAGTGATAATACCAAACTAATATCCACTTTTCCAATGCAAAATCGATGTGTGTGTGTGAAGAACTAAATTGACATTAATGAATTCACAAATTGATCCAATACCCAACCATATATGGTCAAATATATCATTTCATCTCTTATAAGATTCACA